TACAATCCTGCGCACTTGAAACTTAACTGGAGCTCTAATACAACCAAAAAATCTTCACAGTGGAAATAAACAGCCAGCACATTTCCTATGTGAATGAAACTATGGTGAAGATGCAGATGGGGTCACTCATGACAATATTTATATGTATAGCAAGTCATGAACGCAGTGATACTGTTGAGCCATGTTATAATAGCATTGTATCAGAGACCAAGAGAAGAATGAGCTACGGCCATTTGTGGGCTCTAATGGGGATATGGTTTTGTACAACATGAGATGATCATCTCACCCACCCCTGTACTCCTACCTTCGTAAGGCTTAGTTAAAAACCTGCACCTCCATGGTGTAATAGGAATAGCACGTAACACCAAATTGTTTCCTTTATATACTAACATCGCGATGGGTGCCTCCCGCCCCTCCACCTATTACTTTTTCACCGAACTTTCTATCACATTCAATGAATATCGCGATAAACATGGATTTCGGTCCAAAACAGCAAATCCAGTGTCTCACTGGCGAGAGCTGAGGTGCTTCATTTTCTGGAGACTAACCTGGAACAGGAACGTTTCAGGAAGTCCGAATGCTCTCCCAATCCAGTTGACGACTGTATTCTCCAACTCATTCAAGGCTGGACAGCTTTCCTAAAAGTCGCCCGCTGCTGAATCAAAACATAGAGTTGTGACTGCTTCATTTTAGCACGGTATCAAAGACATGAACGCGACTAGGCCAAGAGCTTTTAACAGGAATTATAGGGCATTATAGATGAAGTGCCAAAATGTAGTCGAGGTAAAGCGATGATTCGTGCCTGGTTAAGCCGTCCAAACTACAACTTCCGTAAGATTAAATCGCCGTATTGACCGGTTTTCTTCAAATCAATATTAATAGTCATCGTACATGTCACCGCAGAATTGGTCTGCCGAACTCTGCGATAACAGTAAATGTGAAAAGTCGGCAAGGAGATATGGGCTCTAAGCCGTTAGCATTGCTTTGTCGAATGATTGTGAGTATAGTAACAAATGTGTCAAAAACGAAATGGATGCACAACGAGTTCGGTTCTACAGCGACTGCCGGAATAAATGGCGAAACGATCGAGGAAGTAAAAAGCTTCAAATACCTCGGACACAAGCTGGAGCTCAGCTTCTTAGGAGGCAGCACCGGAGAGTACAGCGTGCGCAGGAAAGCAGCTTGGTTAGCTTCAACAAAATATCAACGTTATTGTTATACGAAGACCTCCCAATGAAAGTGAAAGCGTCCTTGTTCACTCGACGATGATGCCCGCGATGTTGTATGGCGCAGAATGCTGGTCGTCTACGAAGGCAGACGAAGAGGAATTTGCTGTGATGCAAAGATCAAAGGAATGGAGAATTTGTAATGTGTCACTTCGTGAACTTATCACAAACACAGAGTTGCGAAGACGAAGTGGCCTTGTCGAAGTTGTCCAGGAAATGTATAAACATAAACGAGAGTGGGCCGGTCACGTGGCACGATTCCAACAATGGAAACGACGTGCGCAGGTTCGGAACGGACGGCTCAAAGTCGAATTGCGTGAATGGAGATGTTGGCGAGGACAAGTCGGATACAGGAGCGTGGCTGCGGGGCACAGGTTCGTGGAAATCTTGGGAACACTTTCTGTCGTGAACTGTGCCTTTGTGGTGCAAACAAAGTAAGACAGGAAAAGCCCTCGTGAAAGCGAACAACAGAGCTCAAGACCGATTTTATAAAGAGGTCCCCAGTCAATAAGACTAGTTAACTTACCCATGAAAAAATATTGAAGGCCATTGCTGATGTGAGCAACTCCGCCAGCATTTCAGGATAAGGTCGACCGGCCGGAAAATATGCGTAAAACCTCGGATGTTGCCAGTGCGTCATCTAGAACGTTGCGTTACATCGGCTGTTCTCTCTAATTGAACAACTATAACACACAAGAAGAAAAATAAAGTATGAGGAGGAAATCTGAAAAAAAAATTCCGCGTAGAAATAGAGTGCGAGTTTGTGCCCGTCTACTCGTTCGGCAAGGTTCGCGAAGAGTTCAAGCATTTCAGTCGTTAAGAGCTTCTATAAAAATTGCTGGCATCATTTTTCTTCAGATCATTTCTTGTTTATTACAACATTTCAACCAGGGTCCCTTTAGGGCATCAGATTGCACTATTAGTCCTTTTTGCCATATCCTGACAACTCAAAGTCACACAACCGGAAAAACCTTTTTGTTTTATCGCTTGCTGTTTTAGTGGTTAAGAACTCGCGCACGGGAAACGAAACAGCTTAAGGGAGTAGGAAAAGATCAGCATACACCGGGCAAAATTTTCCTCCTAAGATCATTGCATATGTCCTCGAAAGATTCCGGGTTTTCTGGAGGGAATCGCGACATTGTTCGATAAAGAAATCCGGGACTGGAGTCTGAAACAGACTTTCGGAAAACACGGTAGAATTTTAACATAATTTCATCGTACCTGATGTAACATTAAACTGAATAGGATCCTCATAATAATCAATGGCAATGCGAGTGAGATGTCGAAGGTAGACCATGAATTCCGAAGCGATAACAGGATTTTCGAGCATCTGTACATGCAAACTCTTTGTTCACAAGAGCCAATTTCAATAAAAATGAGGTCGAAACAGGTGTAAAGGACAACGTAGCTTATTCACGCTTACGACCATGCACGCTAACTTTTTATATTAGATCTTTTGGAAAATACTTTTAAAAGCGCGTTCGTACACGCTTGTTTCAGGAGCTTTTTATAAGTTTGAACGCTTTTTTGATATATGTATATACACCTCCACTTTTTTTTAAAGGGGAAACTAAACAATTTTATCTTGGCTAAAAAGCTGCTGGTGTTCCCCTCGATATAGCTAAAGCACAAGGCGACAATGTCTTACTGTACAGTTACCACTGATCCACAATTTTTCTTTCCAGTAAGTTATCACCTCATGGTCGAGTGATTAGTAGGCATGGATGACGATCTTTTAATGGCGTTGACCGATGCCGATCTTCACGTAGGCCATGTTGAAACATACTAATTGTTAAGTAGACCAACGCATCGATAAGAATAATCAACGAGAATATCGAAATATATTGACCATTCAAAAAGCCAGGTGTTCAAGCGCCATGTGAGCTGAGGAAGATATTCAGACTTGACAGTGTCCGTCAGGGAACACCACCCATTCATGGAACGAATAATGAATGTTGTTAAAAGTTGGAAAGTTCATGAAAAACTCAGTCGCAAACAATTATGTGCATGTAGTAAGTGTAAGATGAACTTAATAAAACGAGGTCTAAATCTCATCCTCGTCGAAAGAAAGTCACGAACTCCATTCTCATCCGTATTTTAGGAATTCTTTGAAAATGGAGTGTCAGATGGAGAATTTCCGGCACATATCACTTTCATTTCACGCCAGAAAGCTGCTAGTGTTCTCCTTCATCTAGCTAAAGCATGTAGTAGCTCCTCCACGGCAATCTCCTTCCGGCATTCACATCCTTGCCGAATTTAGGCCCTGTTCAGATGGTGAGCTGGAGGAAATGAGAACAGCTCTAGAAATGCTAGAATCTGGCAGTA